GCCAGACTGTGCCACACGCCCTCCCGCATGGCCTTGCGGGAGCCTCGGTACCGATAAGGTTATTTGATTTAGTTTATTTTATCACGGAATCGGAAGGGAAACTGATGACGTACGTCTACGTCATCGGAAACCCGGAAAAACGGCTGAGTCTGTCCTGAAAACTCACCTCTTTGAAATGTCCTTCACCCGCCCTAGCTGTGGCCGATTACCCTGCAGGTTCTCATAATTTCTTGCCGTCCATACACGGCGGCGCATTGGGATCTACGGATGAAATGCGCCGCTTTGCAAATGTAAATAATTATTGAGTGTCTGCTCCGGGCGCGTGGAGGACCGAGTGTTCGTGTCGCAGATCCGTTGTTCAAAGCTGGCAGCTTGCACCGATTGGAAACTTGACTCTTCAGGTGCGTCGGTGTGCTACTGCTGCTGCTGTTGTACGTCGTCGAGTTAAGCTCTCTGAAAGCGTATTCTTTGGTTCTTTCGGTAAAGTCACGTGGATAGAAAAATTTAAATAAAGTGAATAAAAATAAAATAATAAACGAAACCACTCATGTAGACTGTAGCAATGGTTATTAAGCTGGGTGAGTGTACTGGCAGTCTATAATGTAGACTGTAGCAATGGTTATTATGCTGGGTGAGTGTACTGGCAGTCTATAATGTAGACTGTAGCCTGGTTATTAAGTTAGGTGAGTGTACTGGCAGTCTGTAATGTAGACTGTAGCCTGGTTATTAAGTTTGGTGAGTGTACTGGCAGTCTGTAATGTAGACTGTAGCCTGGTTATTAAGTTTGGTGAGTGTACTGACAGTCTATAATGTAGACTGTAGCCTGGTTATTAAGTTTGGTGAGTGTACTGGCAGTCTATAATGTAGACTGTAGCCTGGTTATTAAGCTGAGTGAGTGTACTGGCAGTCTATAATGTAGACTGTAGCCTGGTTATTAAGCTGGGTGAGTGTACTAGCAGTCTATAATGTAGACTGTAGTAATGGTTATTAAGTATGGTGAGTGTACTGGCAGTCTATAATGTAGACTGTAGCCTGGTTATTAAGTTTGGTGAGTGTACTGGCAGTCTATAATGTAGACTGTAGCAATGGTTATTATGCTGGGTGAATGTACTGGCAGTCTATAATGTAGACTGTAGCCTGGTTATTGAGCTGAGTGAGTGTACTGACAGTCTATAATGTAGACTGTAGCCTGGTTATTAAGTTTGGTGAGTGTACTGGCAGTCTATAATGTAGACTGTAGCCTGGTTCTTAACCTCTCTGAAAGCGCTCCTCCTCCTCCTCGCTGTTTCCTCTCGTTCCGTCATATTGCTCACTCATCTTCCTCCTCTTCTCGATCCTCTTCTCCTCCTCCTCCTCCTCCTCTCTTGGTCTTCCTTCCTCCTCCTCCTCCTCTTAGTCTACTGAACCCACACCCTCCCCCTGCGTCGACCCACAATTAACAAACCGCAAAAGCCAGTAGCGTGGCACGGCGGGCAGCATTCCTTCTCTCATCGCTGCCACCGCCGCCATGTCCTCGTTACAGGCGGTGGTTCGGTCACGTCAGGGTCTGGCGTGTAAAGCCAGCCCAGCTATTCGTTTGAGCCGAGGTTGCCTTCGACTCTCGTGAAGCCGGGGGCACAATCAGCGACAGGTCGAAAAACTTCCCGATTGAAGTGGGGGGGTGGGGGTGGGTGTGGGTGGGGGTACGCGGGGAGGGAGGTCCTGAAATTTCGGGCCATACATAAAATAAAGTTAAAATAGAAATTAGCATTTTCTCTTTTTGTTGATATATATCAATTAAATACCCAATGTTGGGGTCTCAAAGGAAGGGGGGGGGCGAGGGGTTGGGGTTGGGGGGGGGCAGGCAGTGTGGGCACCATCACCCTCCATCGTCTCCCTCCTCCCGAACCTTTGATCCGCCACCGTCTCTGGCCTCCGGGTGCTCGGCTCGTCACGTGGCTGCTGCTGCTGCTGCTACCTTGGTTCCTCCTCGAGTCTCTGAGCCATCCCTCTGCTGCCTCTCTCTCTCTCTCTACGAGAACGAGGAGGCGCGATGTTGAACTTATATCATGAATGATTTTGCCACGTGTCGAGATTGGTCGAGCGTACAGCGATGGACGTGTGGTCGGCGTGCGGACGCTATTCGGAGGTCTGCCATATCGGCCACTCCTCAGAGCACCAATCTAAACTGAAGTGCGTTTTATTTTGCCAGGTGAGACCCACTGAGCTACGTAGCTCTTTTGCAGAAGTGGCGTGGCCCCCAAATGACAATAGCTCTAGGAAGTGGCTTATCGTCATGTGAAAACTGATAGCAGCCAAATGACTCCAAACGCGTGTTTCTAAATGTGGAGGGTAACAACCGGAAGACTCGGAGAAAAATTCACGCGACCACGGCGAGAGAGAGAGACAATACAAACTCCAAATATACATGCATCGTCGGGGTTGGGATTGAACCCACGACCTCCTGTATACCAGGCGAGGTAGTTAACATCTCCTAGCCACCCTGTGTGTACATCGCCTCTTCTAAAAAAAAATCCGGCTCTGCGACGTCCCTGTGGAGAGGAAACAGCAGCGAGATGTTGTCTTCCTCTCCTTGTATACAGGAGGTTGTGGGTTCGATCGCGACCCTGACGATGCCTGCATATTTGTAGTTTGTGACGTCTCTCTCTCTCTCTCTCCCCTTGGTCGCGTGGAATTTTGTCTCCGAGTCCTCCGGTGCTGCCCTGCACCTTTCATAGTCGATGAGACGCCTTTTAAGGAGTGTTTTGGCTGCTATCAGTTTCCACGTGATAAGCCACTTTCGTTGAGCTATCATTTGTGATAGCCAGGTCGCTTCTGAAAAAGTCGCTACATATAGCTCAGTGGGCCCTTACCTGGTAAAGTAAAAAAAAAATAGTTTTATAGTTTAAATGACCACTGGTTATACGTGTACAATTTTGTGTGTGTGTGTGTGTTGCGTAGGGGCTGTGTTTTTTTAGTCAGGTGTTGTGCTTTTTTCTTCTTTGGTTCTTTCGGTAAAGTCACCACCACGTAGAATGAGAATAAAATAATAAATTGATAAAATAAAATAACACAATAATATTCTCACGACGTGTTCGGCCACAACACAAGCGGCCTTCATCAGGTGAAGGGACGAGACTGTCTGGTAGGACAGCGCTTCGGCCACAACACAAGCGGCCTTCATCAGGTGAAGGGACGAGACTGTCTGGTAGGACAGCGCTGTCACAAGCGGCCTTCATCAGGTGAAGGGACGAGACTGTCTGGTAGGACAGCGCTGTCCTACCAGACAGTCTCGTCCCTTCACCTGATGAAGGCCGCTTGTGTTGTGGCCGAACACGTCGTGAGAATATTATTGTGTTATTTTATTTTATCAATTTATTATTTTATTCTCATTCTACGTGGTGGTGACTTTACCGAAAGAACCAAAGAAGATGTTGTGCTTTTGTTTGCCGTGTATGTGACCGGCGTGGCACGGGGAGGACTTTATCAAGCATTGTCTCGACATAGCGCTGTAAGTTACGTGTATCCATGTGCCTGTATTTCACGTCTCATTGTTTCAAGTACAGCGGTCAGCGCACTGCCCTACAAACCCGGTAACGCGGGGGTTCGATTCCCGCTCACGGCCAACACCAGTGACGATTATCTTAACCGGTCCTGCGCCTCCCCCTAGGTCGACTCGGCCTCAAATGAGTAGCTGGTGCGATGTGTAAAGATCGCCGCGAGGGAGACAAAGGCGGCCAGGCGTGGTGCTGGCCACCCACCCCCCCCCCTCGTGTGCCGTTCCCGGCCTTCGTAGGTGCTCGCTAACAGCACTTGCCCCAACAGTCTGTTAAGGCTACACGGGCGACCTTTGGCCTTTGTTTAGTGTTAGGGTCGTGTATATGGCACGATGAGCACGCTTTGGCTATGTGCGGTGTGAAATACGTTCCACGTGTACGTACGCGCACGATAACATAACGTGCGAGCGGTTTTTGCATGTCCAAACGGCACCCAACAAGAGCATTACGACCGCCGCCCCCTCCCAGACTTTCCCGACAGGCTCAACGCTAATCCGCACAAACCTAACAAAAGCAGACAGATTTCAAATATGCCTCTGTTAGCGAAAACCCACAACCCCCCTCCCCGCCCCCCTTTGTTTAAAGGAAGAAAAAAAAATCAACACCAGCAACAATTAAGCTTCGGTCGAGTTGAGTTTGCGACATGGGGCGTTTTTGTGACGTATGGGAATTGGGCTGCACTGAAACATTTCCCAAATCCCTCGTTCGGACGGCATCAGCCGAAGTTTTGTTTGCCCCGAAACCGCGGCGCACGTGCACACGACCTCCGCTGCGTCTGGGTTGCCGTTCCGCCGAGCGATTTCAGCTCGCAGCCGACGCCAGGGTATGGCGGCTAAAATCCCCTCCCTCCGTCACCGCTAAATCTCGGCGTCGCTTCTGCCAAAATTTCATCTTTCGCCGAATTTTTTGTCGGTCGATGGGGGGGGGGGGAGGAGGGGGGGGGATCGTTTTTTTTGGGGGGGGGGGGGTGGGGGGTGGGTGGGGGAATGTCAGCGGTGATGGGTGACTTTGAGCGCGGTAACGATTTTGTTCACAGAAATGTCGTTTTTGCTTGTTAACAATCGTAGGCTTTCGCGACCAGCGTCGCGATTCACGATGTAAATGTTTCTTTTTTTTTCTTTTAGCGCCTTGAACGCTTTAATGTGTGTCGTACGCCCTCCGCCACCCGACACAGCCAACTAAACAAACGAATAAAGTCGTCGCGTGAACGGACGCGACCGATTTGTAGCCGCTACAGCGCACCGCTCTTTTTATCAGCACATGGCGGGCGTTTATCACGAATTGGCAGCTTCGCCAATAAATTGTCGCCTTCTTGTTCACGGGGGAAACTTTATCAGTCGGCTGTGCCGGGTGGCAAAGGGCGCGCAACGCGAACCATCGCCACTTGACTGACGCGGCGATGGTCGTAGTGTTCCGTATTTGATTTCCGACAACTGATGACCGCGGCTGCCGCGTTCACCCAAGGACTCGGGGCGCCAACCAGGCCGCGATCCGGCGTCTGGTATCGCGCACCGCCGATGTTGGCGGTGGCAACGGATAGTCGAGCTCACGCCGCCGGCGCCGTGACGCAGAGTGCGCTCTCCACTGTGCAGCGGGTCGCTCCGACATCCTCGCTGTGATTCAATGCCATTTCGTCTCGTAACACGGCACACGGCACACGCCACACGGCACCCATTGCTCTGCCGTCCACCTATATATATACATGAAGGGGTTATTGGCCAATTAATTAGTGGGGGGGGGGGGGGGTTTCCATGTCCGAGAACTACGGGAGCGACCGGAGAAAACGGACGCGTGCGAGGGGGAAACGCTCTATCCCATGCAATCAATCTAAACGGTTGGAGCGCGCGTTTTTGCCGTCCCGCCTTCTACCTGGCGAGCCAGTTGGTGGCGGCGGGGGGCGGGGGGCCGGGGGGGGGGTGGCATAGACACCGGAGCATTGGAAGTACGGTACAACAACGGAGTTTGCTGCGCTGCAGTCTGTTGCCCCGCCACATAGCCCAGCATCGGCACCCATTTTCAGCACTCTCCAGGCTTAAGGCTGCTTAGATTTTTGCCGAGATCGGACTCACTGCTGGTAATTTGGTCCAAGGCGTGCGTGCATAGGCATTACCCACCTATGTATATACACACAGACGTGTCTGTGTGTGTATATACACAGTACACGTACACGGGGTGTACAAAGACAAAGGTCTCCCGTATAGCATTAACAGACTGTTGGGGCAAGTGCTGTTAGCGAGCAGCTATGAAGGCCGGCGCGACAACACGAGGGGGGTGGGTGGCCAGCACCACGGCCGACCGCCTTTGTCTCCCCAGTGGCGATGTTTACTACACGCCGCACCGGGTACTCATTTGAGGCCGAGTCGACCGAGGGGAGGCCCGGGACCGTTTCTCGATAATCGTCACCGGTGTTGGCCGTGAGCGGGAATCGAACCCGGGCCGTCGGGTTCGTAGCGCAGCGTAGCGCTAACCGCTACACCGCCGCTCGCCATGAACGCAGGCTGTACGCGCACAACGCAGCATCCAAGCTTGCACATGCTCAGTGGTTGATTTACACGCGCGCGAGAGCTCCTTCGAGATACGGCACACATCTGTTTGGAAATGGAGGTCAGGTTTCTGTAATTGACACTGTTTACTTGACCACTTTTAATTCACCAGGTAAGGCCCACTGAGCTATGTAGCTCTTTTTCTAGAAGTGACCTGGCCACCGCGAATGACGGCTCACCGAGAAGTGGCTTATCGCGTGTAGAAATATATAGCAGCCGAACGCTCTCAACGCAAACTCCAAAAATAAACAGGCGTCGGCGTCGGGATCGAACCCACGACTCCCTGCGTACCAGGCGAGGTAGTTAACATCTCACACTGGCCATTAGCACGGCCTTTGTTCTAAGTTGGCAGCGGTCCTCTTATCAGTGGGCTTGGCCCCTCTGCGGTGGGAATGTGGAACTTCCACAGCTTTTGTAGGGCTGTTAGTGGAGATGATGAGAGAGATAGTCCATGCCCGCTCACTGGAATACGGATTGCCCTTTGGATTTTGGACTTTTGAATCTGTTAATAATCTCCAACAAGGGCTGTTGTTGCTGCAGTGTAACGGTCAGCACACTGGACTTGCAATCCAGAGGTCGCCGGTTCGATTCCATCTCCCGGGAGTTAGTTTTTTTTTTCCATTCTGCTCCCCCTCTGTCCACCCAGCAGTATAAAAATGAGTTCACCGCATTTTGGTCGGTCGGCAGGTCCGGGTGCTGTGGGGTAAAGTGTGGGTAACACGCGTTGCTTCCAATACGCCTGGCCAGCGTGGGAGAATAGGCCAAGCTACTTTGGTTGCTGTGACATGACAATACTACTGGGTATTTGTCAAACTGCTGGACATTCTGTGAAAAGCTTCACGGCTCATCGGATTTCTCCAGTATAAATAAAGATTCCGATTCCGAACTGTGCCGTACAATGTGAGATCCACAAAATTCGTACCGTCAGTTTTCACCAAATGTTGTTCCGTCATTGCCATTGTTTGCAAGAAATGTTCTTGAATAAAAAAAAAATTCTGCCGAAATACCGAACTCAGGAATAACAGTTGTAACTAAATTTTTTTTTTTTATCAAACCGTGGTCGATGGGGTCATGGGCGCAGTGCGCTAACCGTTGCGCCACCACTCCACACATTAATTTGGCACGTTATAAAAGGCACGTGCATTTTTTTTATACATATATCCTGTTTCACAAAACTTGTCGAAAGGGGTTTTTTTTTTTGGAGAGGCTTTATAAACCGTTTCATCCGTCCTGGGATTGGATCTTGAACTCCATCTGGGATTTTGGATCAGGAGACGGTTGGAGTCCAGGGTTTGCAGTCCAGCATGGTCTGCTATGGTTGAGCTTAACTACAAAACTAATCTATTTTTACTTTACCAGGCAAGGCCCCACTGAGCTATGTGAGCTGCAGAAGCGATCCGGTCACAATTGGTAGCTCAACGAAGTGGCTTTTCGTCACGTGGAAATTTATAGCAGCCAAATACTGTACGCGAGTGAGGGAAAAGCCGTAGGACCCGGAGATAAATCCACACGATCACGGGGAGAGAGAACATGCAAACTCCAGATATACAGGCGTCGCAAGGGTCGGGATCGAACCTACCGACCCTCCTGCGTACCGTGCGATGCAGTTAACATCTCGCCCCAAGACCCCCCTCTGTGCCCTTGAAAGCGCCGTCGCAGAAGCAGGCATTCATCCTCCTCCTCCCTCCTCGTCCGCCTCCTCCCAGAAAATTCCCCGCCACGCTTTTGTTCCGCCCGTTCCGTGCGTGCCGATTGCGTGGCTGCGCCCGCCGGCCTTCTTGCCCAGGGAATGTTTGGCGTTGCCGGTGCCGTGGGACGGGCTAGGGCCCCGCGCCCTCGCGATCACAGATCCCGCGCCGTTGCGGCCGTCTCGGCACGGGCCCGCGTGTCCCCTGACGCGCCGTTTAAGGGGGGGACCTCTGAGGCCCCAGGGCGTTGGGTCCAACGTGCAGGTGTCCGTGAGCGCGTCCAGTGTGGCTCCTGTGTGTCGCGTGCATGTGTACCTGTGTTTGTGGTTGTGGCTTGTTGTAGATCTGTGTGTCGCGTGCATGTGTACCTGTGTTTGTGGTGTGGCTTGTTGTAGATCTGTGTGTCGCGTGCATGTGTACCTGTGTTTGTGGTGTGGCTTGTTGTAGATCTGTGTGTCGCGTGCATGTGTACCTGTGTTTGTGGTGTGGCTTGTTGTAGATATGTGTGTCGCGTGCATGTGTAGCTGTGTTTGGGGTGTGGCTTGTTGAATATCTGTGTGTCGCATGCATGTGTACCTGTGTTTGTGGTGTGACTTGTTGTAGATCTGTGTGTCGCGTGCATGTGTACCTGTGTTTGTGGTGTGGCTTGTTGTATATCTGTGTGTTGCGTGCATGTGTACCTGTGTTTGTGGTGTGGCTTGTTGTAGATCTGTGTGTCGCGTGCATGTGTACCTGTGTTTGTGGTGTGGCTTGTTGTAGATCTGTGTGTCGCGTGCATGTGTACCTGTGTTTGTGGTTGTGGCTTGTTGTAGATCTGTGTGTCGCGTGCATGTGTACCTGTGTTTGTGGTGTGGCTTGTTGTGTATCTGTGTGTCGCGTGCATGTGTACCTGTGTTTGTGGTGTGGCTGTTGTACATGCGTGTTGTACATGCGTTACCTGCGCGTGTGGCGTGTGGCTCTCGCATCATATCTGTCGGTGTGACTGCGTGCGTGTTGCGGGCAGAGGAAGCGTAACGGTGAGCGTGTTGCGCTACAAACGCGGTGACCCGAGTTTTGATTCCCCGGCGAACCGGTACCCGGGCGTCCCCTAGGTGGACTCGGCCTCAAAACGAGTACCATGGTGCGGTGTGCGAACACCGCCACTCCGGGAGACAAAGGCGGGCCCGGGTGTCTCGCTGGCCACCCACCCCCTTTCGCGTGCCGTGCCGGCCTTCGTAGGTGCTTGCTCACGGCACTTGCCACAAAAAGCCTTTTAAAGCTATACGGGGGATCTTGGTCTTGCGGGAGGCGGCTGGGTGGTGATGAATTCGCGCTGCACTAACAACCCGGTGGCCCAAGTTAGATTCCCGTTCACGAAAAGCATCGTTGCATGTTCGGATGTCCAACTTCTTTTTCGCACCGCCACATAGCCAAGGCGTGATTATTGGATGCACGTGACGACCTCTGCTGTGTCGATTCCTCCTGAAATGAGTGCGTGAAACATTGCTACTCGGGAGACAAAGGCGGCCGGGCGTGGCTCTGGGCCACAACCTCCCTCCTTCAACCCCCCTTGTGTGCCGTGCCAGCCTTCATAGGCGGACGCTATAACGGCATTACCCCCCCCCCCCACCCCCAACAGTCTCTTAAGGGCTATACGGGCGATCTTTGTTGTGCAAGGCGATCAATTTACAGCTACCCCACTAAAATAACTGCCAGGCGTGATAGAGAAAGTAACGTTGTCAAAGCACCGACGCGTCTCCTTCCCAGCGACCTCGGTGGACTCATTAAATCCTTTACCACTCTCCTGCGTGAGATGGGGGGGGTGGGCGGGGGGGGGGGAGCCCGTCACTTTCGCGGTGTATTCCATCACCCGCCTGAGAGGTAAGGAGGAGAGGCATCATTTGAAATCGGTGGGGTATCTGTGAATGGATCGCCCTGTACAAAGACGCCTCTCCCCGGTGTAAAATGTCACCGGATTTTGGGGTAAATTGCTGAACCCGGCGACCCGAGTTCGATTCCCGCTCGCGGGCCAACACCGGTGACGATTTTATCTGAACCGGTCCCGGGCTTTCACCTAGGTCGACTCGGCCTCAAAATGTGTACCTGGTGCGAGGTGTAGTAAACGTCGCCTCTTGGAGAGACAAAGGCGGCCGGGCGTGATGCTGGCCACCCGCCCCCTCGTGCGCAGTGCCGGCCTTCATAGGTGCTTCTCGCTAACAGCACTTGCCCCAAAAAATTCCATTAAGGCTTTATGGGGGTGGATCTGCATTGTGTGTTAATAATCGCATCATTATACTGCTTGTTGTAGCCTCGCTGTGAGTCAAGGGTCA